ATTTAAATATTTACAAATGCAAATCTTTTAACAGTAAGACAAGCCATTCATAATTTTTCATGGTCATCCTCAATGAAGATGACCCTTCATTTCAGACCACGAGGGACCCTTATGGCAAACTGCCAGATGAGTGCCCATCTCCAACTTCTCCCGATCCTACAGGCTTTCAACATTCAGAGTTGTCTCAGGTGTAGACAATCTGGTGGACAGGGTCATCTGGTCTGACAGCCCAGAGTTATGAATTATGCTACAAACTCATGTAATACACATAATTTTTGTGCATACTAATCTCAACTGTAAGAGTTTTGGCTGTAGGATACAGAAAATTTGTTTTCTACTTTTTTGTGTGTGCATAAATTGTCTTTAAGAAATAGACCATGGTAAAGCTACTAAGCTACAAAATCTAAATTGCCATTCTGAACAAACCCAAAAGATTGCAGCAACCATGTTTCAAGGAAAAAATATAACAGAAAATAGGGTATGTTGAGATATTTGCCCAGTGAATATCTATATACTGGGTAAAATCCTTTCAACTTAATAAATATATTATATATTATATATTATATATTATATATTATATATTATATATTATATATAATATATTATATATAATATATATACATATATATATATATATATATATATATATATATATATATATATATATATATATATATATATATACACACATATTTTTTTTTTCTTCTTCTTTTTGGCTACCCACTTGTTTTCAGTTATTCCCTGCATAATTACATCATTCAGTAAAGTTGAAATTGAAAATTACCCATACTATTTTTCTGAATGCAAATATGATTGTATATCTAGAAAAATACCCACTTGAGAGGGTTAAATATCATAAAACTAAAACCACCATAAAATTTACTTGATCTTATAGATTTCATCTTTTCTTATCTTCATTTTTCCATGCCTAGTGTAGTACTGCCACATTTTGGGGTAGTAACTGAATGGGGGCTGAAGCCTATCTTCATATATAAATTAGTTTTAATATCTGAGAAAATTAGAAAATATAATCAAGCTTCGATAACACACCAAGAAAACAATATCACATTCTTGTAATAGTATTTGAGTTTTCTGTAAAGCTGTGGTAAAACAGTATAATTTTAGTTCCCACAGCCATGCAGTACAAGGTAAAATTTACCTTTAATGGACAGTGTGGCTGAAAACAAGACACTTCATCTATGGTATTACCTTAGCAAGTTGATAATAAAAAAGTTGTGCAACATGTAATACTCTGGTATACATTTACAGGAGAAAATACACTCACAAATACATGAAATAATCTGCGTCTGCAAAAAATGTCAAAAATTAAGAAAATAGGTCGGAACACATGCCATGCAGGCTGTAACTCCACAAATGGGTGGGGGTCCAGGGGAAATACAGTGATCGGATGGATGTCTAGGGGAGAAGTCCTTGGGTTAGGAAGGATTTTGGTTCATAGAGCGATGTCTGGGGATTTACTAGAAGTGGCAGGAGTAAAAGGGCTTAACCCAATGGTGCCGGGGAAAATGAACAAAAAATGGGGAAAATATTGTGCCCACTTTCTATGTTTCTCATGAAATGTCTGCCGATAGATGGCTCTGCTAGCGCCTGATTTAAATGGCGGGAAAAACGTATTTTTCACTAGTGCTATGAAAATTGATGGTGTTATTTTTATCATAAACATTATAATTTCTATAATTTTTTTTAACATTAGTAACGGCAAAATAAGATTATGTAAAATATTTTGTAAATCAAAGAAACGGGTAAACAGGCGAGACGGGCGGTGCTCGTAACTGGCTCATTGGGGAGTTAGTACAAGTGTTGCCATCTATGCGTAAAAACAATCAAACAAGTACTCACGGTGGGCATAGCACGTACGTACACGTCATACCCGGTACCAAGGGGTTAATCTCGGAGGGGTAAAGTCACTTCATAAACATTACCAATACTTTTATTTATAGCATTTGCGATGAAAAACAACAGATTCATGCATATTACAACGTGGATAATTGAAAAAAGGAATAAAAACTGGAAGATTGGATGGCTGTGTGAAACTGAAAAATACCACTAAAACCGTAAATTTTAAAAATATATATTTATGTACAAATATTTGCCTTAATAAAACAGAAATTATAAAAAAAATATCTATTAAAGTGATCTTATAACCTATCCCATTTCAAAGCCAAATCTTAAATTGGTTACGAGAATATTGCTCTGGATCACTTACGAGGAATTTAGGTAAAATTTTTTGTGACAATTTCTCCATCTATGTGTAAAAACAATTAAACAAGTAAACTCACAGTGGGCATGTCACATATACGTGACATGCCCATCGTGAATGGGTATGTATCAGACAGATAATTCTTTGGATGTATAGCTAGCCCACCTTAACTCAAATACGAAAGTACCGACATAATTTCCTCCAATCCACCATAGGATAGTCTCCTTGAAAAGTTTAATATTTAGTAGATAATACACATTCTTTCCACATGATGCCACA